AATTAAACATTACGTCACTTGCTCACCAAAGGATACTTGCAGTGAATGGGTGCCATCAGAATGAGAGTCCAAACAGCTGATAAAAACATCACAATAATTCAGAAATAATCCACACAACTCCAGTTCATAAATTAATGTCTAGTAAAGTGAAAAGCTGCATGTTTTTAAAAAACAAATTCATCATTACAACAATTTTTAGTTTTTCGCTTCTGGCTAAAATATGAGTCCTCTATCCATAAAATTGCTTTCTCCAGTGGAAAATGTCGAGATCAAACACTGTTTACAAGCAAAAACAGTCCAAAACAGTTGTAAACAAATATGTTAGTGGATTTTGATGTGACAGGACAACAGGGTCAGGACTGTTTTACTGTAGGAAGCATTATTACAAATTATTTTGGCCATAAGCAATGGCATGAAGTCAAAAATGTTTAATGATGGATTTGTTTATTACAAAAATGCAACCTTTCACTTCACAAGAAGTTAACTAATAGACTGGAGTCGTGTGGATTACTTGTGGATTATTGTGATGTTTTTATCAGCTGTTTGGACTCTCATTCTGACGGCACCCATTGGATCCATTGGTGAGCAAGGGATGTAATGCTACATTTCCCCAAATCTGTAATGATGAAGGCCTGAGAGTGAGTAAATTTTCAGCAAATCTTAATTTTTGTGTGAACTGTTTAAGAAGTGAATTATCAGTTACATGCAAAACTTTTTATCTCTTTTTTTTTTTTACTATTAGTTTACCTGGCGCTCTTCTGTGGATACTGTATCCCACATTTCAAGAACCTTAACATATGACCGTCCATTCTGGAGGATTTTTGTGATACCAGCTTGATTTTGAGAGATCAACTCGACTGCACTGTCCTCTGAACATAGAAATGAACATAATTCATAAAAACCATTGGAATAAAGTGATCTCAAACAGAAATCTCTACTATTAATTAGTCCATTTTTTTACCTTCAAAACTGTTTTTGTCCCTTTTAAGCTCTTCCAATTCAGACGGCTCCTTAACACAATGTTTAATAACTTGAGGGTTCATCGACTCAGTCTCAGTTTCCACAGGAGTCTGCTTCATGAGGTCAGTGAGAATGTTCTTACAACCAACGGCCACATCAAACATCTGCAAGGTGTCTGCAGCAGCTATGAGTCGGGTGAAGTTGTGTTTACCGGGAGGCAGTTTACCAGTGTACACCATGTCCAGAAGAGAAGAAAACTCTTGAGAGGACAGTAAATCTGTGTCGATGGAGATGCTGTCAGAACTTTCCAGAACAGACTTAAATAACATACTGGAGGCCGCCAGCACTAGCTTGTGAGCGGGGTGCGGGGTCTCCCCCACCAGGATGGAGCAGTCGCAAAACTGCTTCTCTTTACGTAAAGCATGCAGCTGCTGCATGAGCTGTCGGCTGTAGTTTGGGAGCTCCATATTGTACCTGTAGAGGTGGAAAAGAGGAAATGCAGAAAAATGTATCAAGTTTATCCTTAAAGTGAGAATATGTCAATGGGTTAAGAAAAAATTATATTGTTTCTGACCCCACTGACAGATATTTGTTCTTGTTTTAAGCATAAACTCAAAGTCAATATCTTAAACGTGAGTAAACGTGTCTTGATCTAAGAAGGTTTAGATGTTTGTACTTGAAAACAAGAGTTTATGCTTAAAACAAGAAAAATGTGTGGCCTGTGATAACCATTGATTTATGGTTTATGGATATCACTGATTTTAACCCACCATGCCATATCATAAGAATATCGTCAAAGCAAATCATAAGCATATCTTCATTTCTAATTTATATTTTTGTTTACATTTTGTTTTAACATAATACTTTCTGGAATTCTTTTCTATTTGAAGCATAAATTCAATTTATTTTTATTTATTTATCTTAACCCCCCCCCAGGTTTAGATATTGCAAGCAAGAGCTTATGCTTATATAAAAATTATATTATTTATTTCCCTTATTATTACATTTTTTGGAGTGAAATATACATATCCTGTTCCTAAATAAAAGTGCTTGACAGAAACCATCCACTGAGACTAATAGTACACATCACATCTCTGGTTAGGTCAACTACTCTAAAAGCATCTGATTATTATGACAAATGAAATATAAGTAAAATAAAAACAAACACAATTCATAAGGTGTTATTAGAACTGAAAGGGGGACATTTTAGCCTGTTTATTCCCAGCATAAAGAAATTATAGGATAAACGATGCCATAATCACATGCAGTGAGTGACATTTCAGTTTGCCGCTAACCTGACATGGTATCTGATGCTAATATAAAAAAATAGAAGCAGCAAAAAATACAAACAGCACAACATTAGAGCTAAATGGTTTTGCCGCTTACAGTAAACTACAGCTACACACTTCCCGTTTACCTTTAAATTCAAATGATCCGGCTCTTTATTTAAACTCCTTCGAAGGACAACATTCCGCTGCGCAATAACGATTCGGCCCAAAACACTCCAACAGTGCGCATGCGCGTACAGATGAGCGAACCATGACTTAATGCGCATGCGCTTCATGATTTGCATGGTCCAAAAACAAACACAATTCATAAGGTGTTATTAGAACTGAAAGGGGGACATTTTAGCCTGTTTATTCCCAGCATAAAGAAATTATAGGATAAACGATGCCATAATCACATGCAGTGAGTGACATTTCAGTTTGCCGCTAACCTGACATGGTATCTGATGCTAATATAAAAAAATAGAAGCAGCAAAAAATACAAACAGCACAACATTAGAGCTAAATGGTTTTGCCGCTTACAGTAAACTACAGCTACACACTTCCCGTTTACCTTTAAATTCAAATGATCCGGCTCTTTATTTAAACTCCTTCGAAGGACAATATTCCGCTGCGCAATAACGATTCGGCCCAAAACACTCCAACAGTGCGCATGCGCGTACAGATGAGCAAACCATGACTTAATGCGCATGCGCTTCATGATTTGCATGGTCTCTTTATATACGCATGCGTATAATGAACAGCTGGTTTTCGGGAAGCTTTTGAAAGGATGATTCGAATCTGACAAACACTCCACCATAGACAACAATCATGTAGTCACGACAAGCACCCAAAAACCTTTATGACTATATGGATACAAAATGCATGAATATCGTGTGTTTAAATAATTACCGATTAATTATATTAAATGCCCTTTATTGCCAGATAGGTTTTTAGTTGTAAATCATTCCAATACATATTTTATGTCATATTAACCACTTGGGACCCAGTAAGATACTGCTGGCATCTGCAAAAGTTCAAATAAAAGGACTCATCTCAGTTCTTAAAATTGTATGGAAAACGGAGGCTATATAATATAATACATTTGTTATGCAATTGTCATAAATATTTATTTTCAAATGCATTTAAAATAAACATCTCAGGAACATTTGAGCAAGATTTGAGCAGTTGAACAGGGATAAAAAAAAAAACTGTAAAATGCATATGTATAAATTTTTATTGCAAGCCCCCGAATAAATAAGCATTAGTAAGTTGGGAACACAGATTTTTGAATTTGTTAATTAAAATTACAAATCAAAATTGGTATTGCATCTCTGTAAAAATGCTTAAAAACGTAGGGGTTTCAATGCAGGTTAAAAGCATATACATATTTCATATTTATAGTGATATGAATACAGTGATATGGACAAAATAGATTTTCTTTTTTTTTTTTACCATACGTCAGTATGATATGATATATATATATATATATATATTTTTTTTTTTTTGCTGTCTTAAGATGCTGACTGATTGGACCAGAAATAAAACAGTAACAGAAACGTACAACCCTACAATGCTCCTAACAAAGTCAAATTTCTGCAACTGTTCTACGCACAAACTACACATCTGAAGATGTAAAAAGAATATTTATTGCCCATATGAAAGAACATACAGAAAAGTTCACACAAATGCCTGCCTAATATTTCAAGTAGCAGAACATGTCTAAACTATTTAGCAATGCTGTAATATTTCCCACTTCTGGAAATGTGTCCTATTTATCCTCATCTTTCTAGACATCTCTCCACTGCTGTATTTTGATGAGGTTATTTACATTAACAAAAAGACTAAATATTTTTTAATATTCAAGTTGCTCATGCATTCTTAAATATGTACGAGCTCTATTGCAGTGCCATCACAAGCTTCTTTTCAACAAAGGATTTACAGAGACTTACTGTTTTACACACAACATATGATCAGACCATAATCTCTGAACATGACATTGCAACAAATAAGGAGGAATTCCGATTTTCCTTGAAATGGAACGTCCTTTGAGGAAATCTCGACCCGTATTTTTCACAGTCATGGTAAGCACGACCACAAAATCTTGCAGAATGCATAAACATCTTTCAATATTAAAAGCCAGCATGATGTTTTAAAGCAAAAAGACACTTTTGAAGTTGTTGCAACATTTCAATTACAAAATAAAAAACCAAACCAAAAAATAAAATAAAAAAGACTTCATCCCAAGAATGAACATCTATGTGTAATTCAAGCTTTATCCTTGTTCAGACATGGTCAGCATTGTTCCACTCAGTGTCCTAACAGCCCAGTGCCTGAACAAAAGGAAACAAATATGGTAGATCGTGAATAATATTTCTTAATAGAATGTTTCTGGATTCTTTTACAAAGGCGTTAAAGATTAAAATGCATGTCTGAAACAATCACAAAATAGTGTATTCATACCTTTAAATCCTTCTTCAGGCATACAGACTAGGAAAAAAAAAACTTGGCATCAAAAAAGTGCAGAAATAGATAATTGAAAACGGGACATTTAAGCAGACGTAAACAGCACTTACCTTGATAAACATCATCCATTGCAGCATAATCAGCAATAGGCTCATCAGCCTGTAGAGGAAAATGTAAATAGTACATGTGAAAAAGTTTGTGGTCAGTCTTTGAAAGAAATCCTTTTATTCAGAAAGGACACAAGATTAAACGTGTCAACATTTATAAAGCTATTTCAAATAAATACTATTTTTTTTAACTTTTAATCTATTAAGAGATCTCACAGACTAGGAAAAAAAAAAACTTGGCATCAAAAAAGTGCAGAAATAGATAATTGAAAACGGGACATTTAAGCAGACGTAAACAGCACTTACCTTGATAAACATCATCCATTGCAGCATAATCAGCAATAGGCTCATCAGCCTGTAGAGGAAAATGTAAATAGTACATGTGGAAAAAGTTTGTGGTCAGTCTTTGAAAGAAATCCTTTTATTCAGAAAGGACACAAGATTAAACGTGTCAACATTTATAAAGCTATTTCAAATAAATACTATTTTTTTGAACTTTTAATCTATTAAGAGATCTCGCAAAAAATGATCAGTTTCCACAAAAATATCAATAATAATATCTCTGTTTTCAACATTAATAATAAGAAATCAGCATATTAGAATGATTTCTGAAGGATCATGTGACACTCAAGTCTGGGGTAATGATGCTGTAAATTCAGCTGTAATATTTCAAATAAATGCAGCCTTGGTGAGCAGAAGAGACTTCTTTCAAAAACACAGCCAATGTATCAGCTCCCATCAAAAGTACTTGAGAGTTGTACCTTAAGGCAAATGATGCTCTCTGGAATAACTCCAAGACTTCCTAGCGTGGCAGAGTCATCTGTTAAACAGCGCCCATCTATGGAGAGGTTTTGATCGAATGGAGCCACAGAGAATGCATGCATGATCTGTGGATGCAATCATTTCAAATAAGACATCACGCTGCATCACATAAAAAAGGAAATACTTAACTGTCATAGCAATAAAAGACCTGGATCTTTAGCTCTTTGAGTGTCTGGTTGGCAGAGACGATGAGGGCTTTCTCCCCACGGAGTTTCCTGTGCCTTGTGCTCCTCCTGATGCCAGACTTGGACGCAGAGGTCACGGGGGCCACAGAAAGAGAGCCGGTCTCGTTCAGCTTCTGCCGTTTGGCTCCACCCTCAGACTGATTTAAAGAAGGAGGCATGAGACATAGATAGATAGTCGGATAGTCATACAGACAATCAGACGGATCTTTAAACATACCTGACTGAAATCTGGATCTTTCTCTCCATCCATCTTTGGCTCTTCTCTTTCATCCTCTACATCTGACCCACTCACACTGAACTCAGGGGCAGATTCCTTAATCATCTGTAACAAACAGCACAGATGAGTTATTCCTGGTTGTGCACTCATAGTGGTTAGGGTTAAATTGAGGACACATGATCATGTAAAAACTCACCGTTTTCTTGTCAATGACTTTGCGAACATACACTGTGGCCTGCGCATACTCGCTCATGTCCCTCTGCTGCTGGAATATGAAGCCCTCTCTGCATTCCCGACACAGATCTAAGAGCACAGCACCCATTCGCACATGAAACACAATGCCTGTTTGGAAAAAAACTCCTGGCTGAGGGTTGTCGGTTTAGCTCACCTGGACGAGTCTGGTATTGCACATTGCCATTGTCTTGTGTTTTGTCATGAATCCGACATATGGAGATGACCTGGTCCACCAGAAACATTCTGCTGATCACCTCCCATTCAGCAGGCCAGAGAAGAGCTATACTGTGCATTGACAGACACAAACAATCAGACTTAAAAGTGCTCTTCATATGGATAGTTAACATTTACTTCATAAGGTAAAGTGCATTGTTCAGAAGTTTGGGTTCAGTAAGATTTTTAAAACATAAGAAAGTCTCTTATGCTCATTCACACATTTCTAATTATGATCAATGTTGCTTAATTCTTTGATGAACAGAAAGTTCAAAAGAACAGCATTTACTTAAAATAGAAATCATTCGCAACATTATAAATGTCTTTATAATTACTTTCGGTCAATTTAATGAATCTTTGCTTATTTCTTTAAAAAAAAATCCTCAATGACTTCAAACTTATGAACCTGGACATCTGAGAGGTCAGGAGTGAGTAACTCACTGTTGACCATCTCCTTGCAGCATGGAGTCATATGTGAACATGAAGCCTCCATGAGGACAGAGCAGGATACTGTTCCCCACACTGGACACTGGGTTGCTCTTTGCTGGCCTTCTGTGGTGATCAGGTATAACAGAAGATGTTACAATAATTCAGGACACATCAAAATGATTCATATTTAAACTGAAAAATGATCTTAAATATTTGTTTCCATTACCTGATAAATTTCCTCCATTCATCTACAAAATAATTAGGTACAATGTACAGAACATCTGTGTCCTAAAACACAATCCAAACCAAAGTCAGTTAGCTGAAAATAATATTGAAATACTGACATGTTCACCCTCTAAAATCTACCTCTCAAACATCTTGGAAAAACCTGAAATGGAATCTTTTAATTTGGAAAATGGCATCACCTGTGGCCATTTCTGCAGTGTGGGCCGATTCTTCTCCTGGAAGAGGTTGAGCAGCGAGCTCTTCTGTTCATTTGCCATCATTCTGTTCAAAGCCTCATTTTCTTTACCTTCTCTTTCCAGTCTCTGAAAGACACGGTCAATCTTAAAACCTTTGCCCAAAAATGCTCAGTAAGCAGCTCACAAGGTTATGAGTGTCCACTACACCTTTTACCCATGAGAGTTACTTGATCAATTTATTACCATGCACAGCTGACAGGACTCGTGATTTTGCGGGAACTCTGGTGCTTTGGGGAAATACATCCGAAGTTTATTCCACACCTCGGCAGAAACCACCCGCCTGTCATTCTCTATTATACTCAGACCACCTATGGGAGAAAGAGACCATACAATTACATAAATCAACCTTGCTAATGAATAATCAAATATTTTTTTACAATGTTGAATTCATATAAAATATTCATTTAATGACAACAATTTTGTGCACCACTAAAAACATTATTAAACATTATAGACACACCACTAAATATTGACATATAATATGAAATAAAATAAAATAAATATTTAAAGGGGTCATATGATGCGATTTCAAGCTTTCCTTTCTCTTTGGAGTGTTACAAGCTGTTTGTGAATTGATAAGATCCCTAAAGTTGCAAAGACTAAAGACTCAAACCCAAAGAGATATTCTTTATAAAAGTTAAGACTGGTCCACGCCCTCCTAAAACGCCTCGTTTAAACACGCCCCCACGTCCACGTCACAATGTGGGAAGATTTGCATAACGCTGCCCAAATGCTCACGCAAAGAAAGAAGGCGTAACTTTATTGTTGCTGCCGCCGCCATGTTGTGAAGATGCCGTATGTTTCATTGCGAAAGTGAAAATACTTTGTTTGGCCTTACAAAAGAGGACACGACCAGAAATCAGTATTTACAACACTGTTCCAGAACAGTTCAACCCAAATATTCAGATTTGTGCAGCGCATTTTATGGAGGACTGTTTCCTGATCCTGGTAGAGTAGACTACAATGCCAGCTGTTCAGACACACACTGTAAGTACGTTTTCATTTAAAGGATTTGCCACTGACGATTCAAACGCGAGTTTTGAGCAGTGTAGAGTAGCGCTTGTTGTTTGTCGTTTCTCCGATCACAAATGCAGACATGGTTTTATGTTTACGCGACGCGATGCAACGCAACGCGTAAAAAGACAGTATAAGTCATTATAATCAGTAATTATGTCCCCACTGGATGCAACAAATGCCTTATTTATAATGGGTTTGAATGTTTTTGTCTCGTCGCTCCGGGACACGGCATCACAGTATGGTAAGGGGCGTAACATTTCCGTCACACGTTTGAGGTATTCGGCCAATCACAACGCACTAGATAGCTGGCCAATCAGATCACATCTTGCTTTTCAGACCGATGAGCTTTGTAAAAATTGACGCATTTCAGAAAGGCGGGGGCATAGCGAAGAAACAATAATGTACAGTATGTGGAAAATAATGTGTTTTTTTAACCTTAAACCACATAAAAACATTTAATTACACAAAATACACAAAATAATGTTTTTTTAGCAACATCATAAGACCCCTTTAACAAACCGTGATAGCAGAGGATGTCTTCATTAAAGTTTTTCATCTCTTCACCATCCCCCTCTTCGTTATCTCCTTTAACTCCATCAGCTAACAAAATGAAAAAAAGAAAATAAACAACTAAAAGACAAGAGCAAAAGCCATAAACAATATCCGTAAGTCTCAGTACCTTTAGATCCTGCACTGCTGCTTCTCTCTCCGTTAACTTTGCTGTTGTTGGGTTTGGTTTCCTCCTCATCTTCCTCTAGCTGGTCTAATGCCAATTGTCTCCAGCTCCTTAGAGAAGCCTTACCGATCCAGAAACCTGATTCATCACTAAATATAGCCAATATAAACACCAGATCAGCTTCATCAAATATCTAATGAACTGCATTAGCAGGGTTATTATAATGAACTAAAACCATTAATAAAATATTTCATTAATTTGAAGTACTAAAAATTGCAATAAAAACTATATAGACACAAAAACAACAAAATTGCTGAAGCTTTAAAATAAAACCAAATTCAAAACAATAAAGACTATAATAGCATGTCATTGATACTAAAATAACTGCAGTAAAAGCATCTGCTGGAGATCCAGGTTAAAGCAGAACTCATACCTTTCTAAAGGGGCTTTGGCAAGATTCATGACCTCTCTGTAATCTTCATTCAGCTGGTTTTTCAGTCTGATCACCCGACATCGCTGAGTGACACAGTCTCTGCAGAGCGATGACTCTAAACACCACCCAGGATGAATGAATATATGTATAAAACACAGTAATGAACAATTAAGAGTTTTGACAAAAAAGTCTTACGGCCTAGTCTAGATATTCCTCCATAGCGGCCAAAAAGGAGATCAGCGGCCTTCGAGGATATTCTTTTGACCTCGGCAATGTTATCTGGGTGCAGTTTGCCATGGGAACACAAGAATTGGCTGTTGTCAATTTCCTTGATGGCCGTGGAGTCATCAAGCCATTTCTTGAGCCACTCCAGAGGCACAAACTCATACGATTGGCCTAAAAGCACAAAAGGAGCCCAAAGCATTCATTTCTTCTTGAAAATGAAAAATACAAAATACAAAAGTCTTAAAACTGGTTACACTATTGTTCAAAAGTTTGGGGTTAGTACATGTTTTAAAATAAATTAATAGCTTTAATTCAGTTAATAATTAATAATTTTAATTATTTAATTTTAATAATACTTTTATTCAGCAATGGCGCATTCAATTCATTTAAAATGTTACAAAAAAATTATATTTCAAACATGCTGTTTTTTTTTTACTTTGTATTCATCAAAGATTCCAGAAAATATTTATCACAGATGACACAAAAATATGAAGCAGCACAATTGTTTTCAACAATAATAATAGGAAACATTTCTTAAGCCGCAAATCAGCGTTAAGAAACATTAGACAACATTAGAATGATGTCTGAAGGATCACGCGACACTGAAGACTGGAGTAATAAATTGTAAAAATGTTCCACACTACTACCGTTTACCGTCTTTGATCAAATAAATGCAAACTTAAAAACACTAAAAAATCGTACCAATCCCAAACTTCTGAATGGTAGTGTTAATATAACAATGTTTAAGATTGAAAAAAGGGAGATTTAACAGTTCATATTGATGGAGAAACTAATGCACAGGGCATTTTTACGGACCGTCTTCTGCAGGTAACAATTCGTAGAGCTCCTTCACCTCCTCATGTTTGGCTTTGCCTTTGTCAACACTCTGCTTTCGCATGTCTGCCATCTCATTGCACCACTCCTCAAACTTCTTGTTGTCCTGGTCAACCAGCTTCTGAAGAAAAGCTAAAAACCAAACAAATACATCTTAAATAGATACCGTATGTTATGATGCACGCATAACACTTACAAAAAATATTGTGTAAAAAATGGGGAAAAAATTACTCTCCTCTTAATGACAAACACAGTTGTGTAAGTCGTGGCCTAATGGTTAGAGAGTCGGACTCGTAACCCAAAGGTTGCGGGTTCAAGTCTCATACCGGCAGGGATTGTAGGTGGGGGGAGTGAATGTACAGCACTCTCTCCCACCTTCAATACCACGACTGAGGTGCCTTTGAGCAAGGCACCGAACCCCCAACTGCTCCCCGGGCACCGCAGCAAAAAATGGCTGCCCACTGCTCCGGGTGTGTGTTCACGGTGTGTGTGTGTGCACTTTGGATGGGTTAAACGCAGAGCACTAATTCCAAGTATGGGTCACCATACTTGGCCACATGTCATGTCACGTCACGCCACGTCACGTCACATAAAACTACTGGAAAATGTGATTGATTAATCCATAAAGTCAGTTTTACCTGGTACTTCAACGTTAGTTTCTGTTTGGTCAAGACGGTCACCGTCTTCCATCTGCTGTTTGTACACTAACATGTACGCGTTTCTCGAACAGTGATAGCCTTTGCTACATTTTGGCTTTCGGGTTTGAGACTTGGCAGTCTCGGCTGCAATGGAAACAAGAACAAGCAATAAAGTACACTTTTGTATTTTCATATTTTTAGAACTGTAGCTGCAAAAAATGAGACACCATTAAAAGTAAATTGTCCAAATGTGTTGTTACCAATGTCTTCCTCAATGCCCAGCTGAAGTTTCTTGCCCTCCATTTTCTCGATCTCCTCATCATTGAATTTGTACCAGTCATTGGTGTGGGCGTCTCTTACGTGAGCGATGTAGTGGCCAGAATATGCACTCACGCCACGATGAATCAACACCGCACTGAGCTCATACGTACACTTCTCTTCTGAATTTAGAGGTGGAGGAAGAAAAAAAGAATCAAGCAATGTTAATTAATCACAATTTCCTGATCATTATCTCAGATTCCTAAATTACATACACTATTGTCTGAAAAATATGGGTTCAGTAAAATTAGAATTTTTTAATTCAATACTTGAATTCAGCATTAAATGTATCAAAAGTGATCTGTAACAAAATATTTCTATTTCAAATAAATACTGTTCTTTCCAACTTTCTAGTCATCAAGGAATACTGGAAAAATGTATCATGGTTTCCACAAAAAAGTATTAAGCAACTGTTTTCAATTGATAATAAGTAATGTTTCTTGAGCAGCATACTAGAATGATTTCTGAAGGATCATGTGACACACTGAAGACTGGAGTAATGCTGCTGAAAATTCAGCTTTGCCATCATAGAATTAAATTACATTTCAGTTCAAACAAAAAACAGTTGTTTTAAATTCTAATAATAATAATTGACAATATTACAGTTTTTACTGTAGTTTTGATCTCGGTGAGCATAAGAGACTTTTTCAAAAACATTAAACAAGTCTTGTGAACTGCAGTGTACAAACTAAATGCACAGTATACCCTTTCCTTCCAAAAATGGTCCCATCTCAAGAACTTCTGGAAAACTAATGAAGGTGTTGAGTTTCTTCTTATGAGCACTTTGCCTATAAAAGCAGAGAAAGATGAGAAACAAATGATTAAAAACGTCTATAAAACATTTAGTAACAGGTCTGATAATTGACAAATTACGACACTCACCTATCAAAAACAAAACGCATGAGCTGAAAATTTAGTGTGCGGGGAAGACTCTGGAGCTTGATCCGACGGGTGGCGTTCTGTTTACTCTGACAGCTCTCGCAATAGTAGCGATTATCACCGTCCAGCTTCTCCTCCTAAACAGCATGAGGAACAACACATTGAGACCCTCAATATCTGATCTACACTGACATACGGATCTGTCAGGCACAGAAATGTGAGCAGTCACCTTAAGAAACTCCGTTACACACTCCGTGAGGTTAAACACAGGAACTTACAAGTTGAGGTCGAGTATTTTACGTGATGGTAGAGGAGACTCGCGTCCACATTTGTTGCATCTGGCATAACACAAAAAACAAGCACTAATTACTATATTATAACGCATTAAGCTCAGAGTGAGAGTAATAAATGCCTGCATCAGAAAATAACATTCGTTTAGAATAGCTTACACTGTAACATACGAGAACTGTCCACAAAACTGCTGTTGAATGACATTTTGGAGATTTGGGTCCTTCTGCTTTGAAAGTGTGTCTTCAAGAAGTGAGAGGAAGAGTTTGGAGAATTCCTGAGCATCCTAAAAATAAAAGAAAACCACATTTTTAGCTTTCCCATGATCCACAGGGCACTCCAACATGTTTCATCTTGTGCTGGCCAACCTGCTGTTGTCCTGTGTCGAGCCCAAGAGCCTTGACCAGCCCTGAGGGGTCGATATACCGTCTGTTGCTGTTCTGTAGCAATGCAAACAGATACTGGAGATGTTCACATATCGTCCGTGGTTCATAATCTGCAAGATAATGTGCACAAATGAGAAAAAGCTTTTTAAATAAATGGGGCTTTTCTAAGTTTTGAACACATATTTAATACTTTCAATATTGTACCCTTCACGCTTAGCTTCAAAGTATCTCCAGTTAGAGTTACTAAATGGCAATTGTCACTACAAAATATGTTGCATGCTACAACGGTATATTTTCCTAATTATAAGTAAAGCACGTTGACAATAAAACCATTCAGGCTTTAAAAGAAAGACCCTTGATCTCACCTGAATCCATGTTGTGCCCTTCTGCTCTGGAATTCTGAAAT